CTCTTGATGAAGATGATGTGGCCTATCTCTCACGTAAGTATAAAAATTTCATCAAGAGAAAGAAACAATTCAAGAAGAATTTCTCCAACCAAAAAGAGTCAAAAAGTGAAACGAGCAAAAAGGATGAGGTAATTTGTTATGAATGCAAAAAACCGGGTCATATTAGAACCGATTGTCCTTTTCTTAAATCATCCAAGAAATCCAAGAAGAAAGCAATGAAGGCTACTTGGGATGATAGTGATGAAAGTGGAAGTGAAAGTGAGAATGAAGATGTGGCCAACTTTTGCTTCATGGCTCATAGTGACAAGGAGGATGAACAAGATGATGAGGTAACTCTTGATCCCCTTTCTTATGATGAGTTGTTTGAAGCTTTTGAGAATATGCAAAATGATTTAGAAAAGCTTGGTTCTAAATATGTTATGCTTAAAAAGAAATACAATGTCTTAACTAATGAAAATAAGTCTTTACTTGATGATATTGCTTGCTTAAAGAAAAATGAGCATGATGTTGTAAATATCTCTTGTGATAAGCATGTTCTTGATTGTGATGAGAAAAATGCAATACTTGATAAAATTAGATTTCTTGAGCATGATGGTTGTGAAAAAGATAATTTGATTAAATTGCTTAAGAAAAATGAATCAAATTCTTTAGTGGAACTTGATAAGGCTAAAGATTCTATTAAAAAATTAACAATAGGTGCTCAAAGGTTGGACAAGATTATTGAAGTAGGTAAACCTTATGGTGATAAAAGAGGTTTAGGCTATATTGATGAATGTTCTACTCCCTCAATTTCTAAAACTATCTTTGTTAAAGCATCTCCTAATATGCCTAAGCTTGTTGCTCCTAAAGTTGTATCTAAACATACTAAAATTAACTTTGTGCCTATATGTCATTATTGTGGTGTTGAAAGTCATATAAGACCTAAGTGCTTTAAATTAAAATATGCTCAAACTACTAGAAGAAATTTTTCTCAAAGGACAAAGTTTCACAATGCTCCAAGAAAAATTTTCTCCAAGAAAAGTAAAATGCATAAATTTGTTGTAAAAGATAATTCATTGCATAATGTTTGGTTTTCATGTGGCAAGTGTGGACATAAATCTTATTCTTGTTACTTGTCTAAATCTTATGCTTTCAATAAAAATGCAAAAATGAAATGGATCCCCAAGTTTGTTAATGCTAACCTTCTAGGACCCAAACAAGTATGGGTACTGTAACGCGCCAAGATGTTATATACCATCCTAGGCAACGTTAAATAATTCACCTGTGTAGCTTTAACTCTAAACACGAGATAATCAACTCCCTGGGAAATAATTTAAATGAAATAAAGCTTCGACTCCCATAAGTTCTACCAGAAATATCAATTTTATAACCTGTCAAAACTTCGCTCTCCGTGGGCAATTTAAAAACAAAGACATCTCATATCCGCCTCAGTGGCTAAAATTCTTAAATAAATAAAACAAYCGTACACCTAAACTCCAACGACAACAGTGACGCGTTTACCAACAACATCCATAAAAAAAAAATAAAGTAGTTCTAAAGAATACAAAATTTCTCCTCGGTCCACACCTAGCAATAACATAAATCCCAACGCTACTCGTACCAAACGACTCTTCCCTCTATCCTCACTAACTCGACTAGTGATCCCTCCTCGGTCAAGCCCTCTCCACGTCATCACCGCGGTCGACCCTATTCACACCTGAAAACAATTAAGGATAAAAAGGGGGGTGAGTACGTAAGGTACTCCGTAAGTAGCACTTCCTAACTAACACAAAAATCATGCTCACAGTCACGGCATATAAAATAAAACGATAGCAAGGCAATTAAATAGACAGCGAGAGATAAAAAAAACAATAACTTGACATTTACATACAACAACCATGCGTCGGAACTACCAAGACTACAACCAATGATTCACTAGCCCTTGTCCAACAGTACTAAACCTCCCTCTACACCCCCCTCTGTTACTCCCCGTTTAACTTCTCGAGGCATGACGGCTCTTGACATTTATTCCCAAGATACCGCCCCCCCTCCTTTTACAGTACTTGATGTNCTTCTCGAGGCATGACGGCTCTTGACATTTATTCCCAAGATACCGCCCCCCCTCCTTTTACAGTACTTGATGTTCGACCTTGCCATTTATTCCCAAGACCTAGCACCACTACTTCGCAAGCACCACTCTACTTTAGTCCTTCAAGCCTAACTCCTCAAGTCGCATTGACCCTTGACATTTATCCCCAATGCCTCAATACTCCTCTACAGAAACTTGATGTTCGGCCTTGCCATTTATTCCCAAGGCCTGAACTGTGCACCGGTCCTTGCCGTTTATCCCCAAGGTACCGATGACTTCCCAACGTATTGGTCCTTCCAAGACCCCAATACTCATTTACAGAAATTTGACGTTCGGCCTTGTCATTTATTCTCAAGGCCACTACTAAAGGCTTTGAACCTCCAAACGATTTATATGCATTTCCAGATCAGAACACCCATAGTTAACGGACTGCCAACCTGTCCCTTCACCCTTCACCCTTCACCACTTCACTAACCCTCCCATGACCACTTACAAGTAAATTTCCCACATTCCAATTCACTGCACAGTTCACAAGCATGTTTTTCCTTGTAATAAACAAGTCACACCCAACAGCTCACAACTAAAACAATATAAACTAAATTATCAGTTTAACAACGCGAGCATTTCATTTACAACATATTTGAAAAACGTCATGAGCCAGTTACTTCTAACCACAACAATTCAGAATCTACTAGTCACCTACAACAATAAGAACAGAAAGCATGTTTCCTCATAAGTGTTCAATAATAGAAAGACGGCAACAAAATCACTAGAAGTTCACAATCAAAACTAACAATCCCTACATGCTCAATTAAATTATTTTAGCAAAAAAAATCAGCATCAAAACCATTCCGTTAACGCTAAATAACGCACGCACTTGCCCTCTGGTGCTACTTACGCAACCACTTCCTTAAGTTTGCGTCGAACTCACACCTACGCACAAAAACAGAAAAAATACAGCAATATAAATATACTGTTCAGCCTTCGAAAACAACTCTAAGAGGGTTCAACGGGTCTCATTACCGCAAAACGACTTCGTGTAGGTGTGGGTAAATTAGATCTAGCTTGCAAAGGGGTGGGTAGCGTAAATCAGGCTTCGAACGGATGAAGTTAATCACCGGATACCACCCAAAACACTGCTGTCCACATTTTTACAGCAGCGAGAAACGCCCAAAATGACCTCCAACGGCTTCGATTTGATGTCCGTTACTGTAACGCCCCAGGCATTTCACCATTTCCAAACAGGGACCGTTACTAAGACTACCTAAAATTTTTCACATAAACAAGAGAATTGTCTCCACAACAATACTAAGCAATAAAGCCACCACGCTTCTCCTGCGCTACTCTGATTTTCAACGCTCACGAGAGCTTGAACAATTAGAACAACACCACTAAAGATTTAAGAGAAACTCACATCCTATACAGATAAACCATTAAATACCGACTTCACAGCAACCAAACCCTTCAAGGAAACCTGTACTAACTATAAACCATCCACTAAAAGAATATTAACATCTCGAATGACAATGAAGCACAAACTAATTCAAGTACGATCAACTTAAATAAATGTATCCATAAATATCCTAAGTAGGTTACAATCCCGTAGTTCAAGAACTAACAAAATTAATGCTCTAAAAAGAATAGTGAATCGGCAACCTTACAACATCCTTTAGACCATAAAACTAAACAAGACCAACCGCTAACAACTCAACTACACGATTAAATAGCCACAACTATCCTAACTAAAAGAAATTAATTGCACGCAGCATAGCCAATGGTCTTTCCGATCAAGACTCCTCCTTGCCATCACCATCCCAAGAGTTAGCTCGATACCTGCAAACTGGAGGGGAAAAAGAGGGATGAGTACAACCACAGTACTCAGTAAGCAGCCTTTATCTGAAGGGTCACGCACAAACAGCATACTTATCAAGGAACAACGTGTCATGCTTATTAAAGGATCAACACACACACATCATGCTCAACCAAATCATGAAACATTCACAGTCATGCTTTTCATCACATTATGCATTCAAACATAGACACATTCTATAAAATTC